ATCAACCAAATTTTCGGACCATTTCTTTCATTGCAACCTAAAATCAATCAAAAGGTTTGGTTTTTGTCATTTCCATTTCAAAGCAAATTGAAACTTGGACTCCTTTTTGCCATGGAATTCAATTCTTTGCCCATATTCAAATCGGACTTGATTCAATGTTCTCTCCGATCCCTCTTCCGTCTTATCGGTCATTCAAATTCGGAACGGATTCAGATATGAATAGTTAGATATCTATTATTCGGTGAAGTATTTAAATATTCTCTTGATGTATTTTTTTGTTGAGTTTCTAATTATAAAAATATATAAAATAATCATCTGACTTAAAAAATAATAAATTGATTTCATGAGGTTAAAGAATTAGCCGTAGATTGTGTGATAGTTGATAAAATTAGAATAATAATAAACTTAACCATATATAAAAAAAATGATTTACAAAACTTAAAAAAAATCAATAATGAAAGTATGAACCATTCATGAGTTTTTAATTTTGTTTTCATTTACTTTAGTCTTTATTGTCGGTTTTTTTTTAAAGTTGAAAAGAAAAATAACGAAAAAAATTGGAAAATGGAAACCAAAACTTGAAAGAGAATGAATGAAGGATAAAATACCCAAATAGTCCACCAATTTAGAATAAAGCGTTAATTTTTTTAGAATAAGGACCAACTTAAAATAAAGTGTAAATTTAAGGGTTAAATTTACTATTATACCAATATTATCAAGTGTTACGTCATTTGTCGTCAAGTTTAACGACAACATATCAATTTGATATTATTCTTTTTAAAGTCGGTTTACCATTTTATAACTTTTATAATTAAAATACTCAACAAAAACATTCTATTATTGAAGGACTACTTATATATTCCACCCTTTATTATTTGAAGAACTTTTATATTACTTATATTAGTTTTATATTGTAATTATATTTAGTATTTACACTATTATTTATATCATAAATTTGTCTAAATTTGAAGAATTTTATACATTTTAATAATAATACTAATACTAATAATAAATATATTAAAATAATGAAAAAATATAATACTTTTTTATATGTTTATATCATATCAATTATTTAAAGTAGTTATACAATTTTGATATTATATTTGTGGTTAAATTATTTTATTATATTTATATTTATATTTATATTGTACTTAATACAAAAAAAATCTAACCTAGTAGTACCTAACTTGCCTAGCTTTTGGAGTTGGTCTTTATGAATTTAGCTTCCTCTTAATGTACTAAACTCTATAGGACACCTAACCTTAGTATCCTATGCTCCATGATCCCAAAAACCACATCATTCTCCTTTTAGGCTTGGTTGTTTATGGGATTTATAAACATTCATTAAAATTTATTTTATTTTATATTCGATATAAGAGTCGATTCAAAAACTTTCGAGGTTCTGAATAAAAATTGAAGTATAGGTTTTAGAATCTACTAAAAGGTTTTAGTGGTAAAATATAATATTGTACCTCTTAAAAGTCTTAAGTTCGAGTAGTTGTTTCTGTAGAGAGTATCGTCGATAGGTTACAAGCGGTAGTATTTGTTCTAAAGACCCAACCATTTGTTAGTGAACGCTCAAATACCCTATATTTTTTATGCTCGAACCTGAGACCTTTAGAAATAACAACCATTTTTGCAATATTATTAAACACATTATTTTAAGAAGATGGAAGATGGGCCTTGAGCGGGAGCTCAACGTCCTTCCCCCTCTTGAGTCGACTCTGTTTAATATAATATGTATTACATTTAAAATTAGTATACAAGAAGATATAAGTTTGAACATAAATGGATCGAATATCTGTAAGTAACGATCACATTCCTTAAAAATTTTAACTTTTTATATAGGAATTTAGTATCTTTTAAATTTTATAATTTTACACCTTTAAGTCTTTAATATAACTTTTAAAAAGTTTATATCATTAACATAAAATATTAAATTTATCTCTAAATTTAAATATATTTAAACATATAATATCCTTCTATTTAAAAAGATAGAGATATTTGGGAGTGGTATTAAAAATAATACTTTTCATCATCAATTGATGACATACGAGTCCCCAAATTGATGCTAACAAGTAACAACAAATTGATATAAAATTGAGTAACAACAAATTGAGTCCACAAATATATTATTTATGAAAAATTGGTTCTTGTCACCCAAAAATGGTAGATATAAAATTTTGTAATGTAGGGAAGTTCTACAGTACGACACTCTTAATATACAGTTAAAAAGAGGCGTTATCGATTTTATTATTATTTAAATAACAAAATCGGTAAAAAATTACCTAAAACATTATTATTTCTACCTAAAACATCAATATTTTTTAACATTTCCGGTAAAGTGTCTGACAATAACAAAATCGGTAAAATACCCAATAATAACAAAACCGATAGAAATAATAATATTTCTGATAATTTTTTACTGATCTTTTATTTAAATAATAACAAAACCGATAATATTTTTTAACTTTATATTAAAACTATCGCACTTAATGATTGCACGTGTCGAAATGATTGCACCAAACTCTTCTTTTAACATGATTTTAGCAAAAAGGGATTATTATTAAAAAAAATCTACAGTATAACACTATGGCATTATGACACTTATATGATATTATCACAATGTTTGATAAAAAAAGATAAATATATGATATTAATTGAATTATAAATCCGAATCATTTATCTACAACGATCGTATGATATAACATATCATAAGATAAATATATGATATAAATTTAATTTAATGTAAATTACGTATTTAGTCACTCGTCTATTTATCACGATTTTATTTTGATCATCCAAATATAATTTTAAATATCATACTTAATATTATGTTTTTGTTTCGTTTTAGTCACTCGCTATTAAAATATATAGATAGAATTGTTGTTGTGGTAGCTTTTTTCTTCAAAGATGACATATCATTACCTTATGACGATATGTCAGTATTATCTTTAATTTTTTATTTAACGTGGATGATAAAAATAAAATCAAAACATAAAATTAGATAAATTTGTTTAAAAAATAATTTAATGATCGGAATGAAACCACAAGAGAATAGATAAATAGTTAAATACATGATTTACTCTTTAATTTGTTTAATATGGCACGCACCTTTAAATTGAATATTAAGGGATAAGGTACGACAACCTTAATATACGGTTAAAGTAAGGTGCTATCATAAATGTTAATATTTTTTTAACATTTTTTGTTAATATTGGGCACTACCTATATTGTTTAACATTTTTGGTAAAACGCTACATAAAATATTATTTTTTCTATCGAAAATGTTAATATTAGACGTTACCTAAAATATTATTTTTTACCGAAAATTAGGTAGCAAAATTAATATTTTTAATAAAAAAATAATATTTTAGATAATACTTTAACAAAAATATTAAAATAATATTAATCTGATAACATTTTTCTTACACAATAACTATTCAAATATTAAGGTTCTGGGCTCACGTCGTTACCAAGTATGGGCTCAATGTGTAACGCGTGTTTTTATTTGTGGGTCCCATTCTCCAACATTTGACCTCATCCATTGACTCCACGTGTGTCTAACTCCCACCATTCGCTTACCTCGTCAATGAGAAATTGTCGCTTTTGTTCTCTCCTTAAATTTCGAAAATAGATTTTCTTATTTTAGTTATTTGGTTAAACTTCGACTTTAGTACTTAAACTATTATTTTTATCCGTTTTAGTATCTAAGCTTTTAATTTTTTTCAAAAAATATATCTAGCATTTAGTTTTTGTTTATTTTAATACCTATCATTAAAAACTTAACACGTTTAGTACCTAAACTATCAATTTTTGTCCGTTCTACTATCTAAACTTTTATTTTTTAAAACATAACGTTAAATTTTGGATAGGATACTGAACGGAAACAAAAACTAAATTTTAGGTATGATTTTGAAAAAGTTAAAAGTCTAAATACTAAAACAGATCAAAAATGATAGTTTAAATACTAAACGCATAATTTATCCTAATTATTTTTATCCTATTCGATTTGATGGGATCAATTTTTTTGAAAGAAAATTCTTAAAAATATTATATCAGACTTGAGTTTAGAAAGAATATACTCAAGATAATCACAAAATATCTTTTATATTTGACATAATATGTGGTGAAGTTATGTGATTGATTAAATGTCATTAGGATTTAATGTTATTAGCTTGAATAAATTAGTATTTTATTTAACTATTATTTATTTTAAATATATATATATATATAATAAAAATTATGTTAATCAGGTGAGGCTGCATTTTCAATTAAACTTTCAAGTGGAATTCAAAACAGATAAATTTATATTTAAACTCAAATTAGGACGAAATTAGATTTTATTAGGATCATTAAGGGGGCGAATTTGAGGTGGTCAAAAACCCTTTCAATTAGGTCTCGTCGAGATCGAACTAAATTCTCTTGAATTTGCATATTAAATTGAGTTGAGCAACCGAGGGACGGGTTGGGACAACCTCCCCTGAAATTTTAAAATTTTTATATATATTAAATTTTTTTATTGAAAATATGTTTTCGCTCTTTCTATAATTTTATAAGTTCGTCTCTTGTTAAAATTTTAGAAATCCGTCTCTCTAACATTAAATAATGCGTCCGTTCCTAATATATGTAGACATTATTTTTGTATAATCATTTATTATCCTTGTATATATCATATTTGATATATAGAAAGAAAAAGGAAACTAAATTACATTCATTGAAGAATCTTTGGGTGTAAAGCAAAGCATAAACTATGCCTAAAACTATAAACCCTAAATGCCTCTTTGTTTATCTTTTTACAATAATAACTATTATAAATAAAATTAAAATAAAGGGGAAAATCCTAAATTCCCAATAATATGATTTTTTTCTCTATATTAAAAAATCTAATTTATTGTTAGGGTAATTGCACAAGATGTCCAAAAAATATGACCCGATTATAAATTAAATTCAATTTTTCAAAATATTTTAATCACATTGTAAAAGTATCAATGTGGTATTTGTTGGATCATCAGTCGGTCTAATCATAAGCTTCAAATCAGACGTGAGATGGGGTATTTTGAAGTTTGAGGACCATTTTAAAATTTGGGTCATAATTTGAGACATTTTGTACAATTAACTCTTAAATATTTTAACCGGTGGATGAAGAATGGCTAGTAGAATGAGACCATGGCGGCGGCGGAGGAGGAGGAGAAACTAATCCTCTAGTCGGAGTTTGACTAGACGGCGGCCTGAAAATGCCCATTTGGTGCTGCTCAGCAGAAAACAGAGGTAAAGAAGCAGAGGGAGACGATGAAGGCGGCAGATGAAGTGGTGGTGACAAAGAAGAAGATAACAATGGCGGTTGAATATTGGGTAACTGAGACGATTGGATCATATGGTTTAGCAAGCTCGTAGCTGGTTGCTCATTGAAATCATTACAACTCTGTAGAAACTGAGAGTAGTTCCAATAATCTCTCATCATATCGGCGGCGGAGCTCTGAAGAGGATTTGGGGATTGGTAATATGACGGAAAATGAGTTGTTAGAGAAGCAGGAATCGGTGTTTGGGTGGCCGGAGAATCCTGCACCGGTCGAGGGAAAACCCTGGCATTCTCCGGGAAATTTAACTTTGCCCTGTTTCCCCTGAATCTCAACGCCGCTTCATCGTAGGCTCTTGCGGCGGCTTCCGCCGTTTCGAATGTTCCTAGCCAAACTCGAGCTGCTTTGTTCGGATCACGTATCTCCGCCGCCCATTTCCCCCATGGCCTTTGCCTTACGCCTCGGTATCTCCTTCGCCGCTCGTCGGATTCTTCGTTCGACACCGCCACCGTGTCGCAGGTAGTCTCCGCCGTGGCTGGTGCAGCAACAGTTTCTTCAGCAACTGTTAAAAAAAATTTGGAGACAAAAGAAACTGTCAAAAGGTGACTGTCCATTGCACTTCAAGTTTCTTTACATTTTCCTTCAAAGTTGACTAATGTAAACTTGCTAAAATCAGTATTAAAATGTCACATAATGCCTATGTTGTGATAATTTTTTTAAGTTGTATAATATTGTAATTGTATTTGTAATTAAAAATATTATTAATTTAAAAAAACAGATTATATAGTAACTACTGCAACTATGGCATACCAGAAGTTGCAGCGGATGATGAACCAGCATAGGAGTCTGTTTGATCCCCTGGTTCAGGCTCAACCAACTGAGCCATGATCTCTTCTTCACGCCCTCTTTTCCGACCCATATTCCATGGACCAGAACCGGCAGCCGAGCCACTTTGTGTATGTCCAAAACAGTTGTCTAAATCAGTAGGGTAACCACAAGGCCAAGCACTAGCAGGAACTCTTTGGCCTGAGACAACATGTGTCAAGGCAGACACCATTGCCGACATCTCGCTTGCTTGATGACTTTGTTGTCGGAAAAACATGTCTGCTTCATCATCCCTGTTCTCTTGTCGGAAACCATCCTCTTCTTCTTGCTGTTGGTGGTTGTGGTGGCCGGAGTCGCCACCTTCAACAGGGGGAAACCTGATGAACTCACCGGACCTCCTCTGGTGCGCCACCTTGTAGGTGAAAAAAAAAACAAAGCAATCTTTGGGGTTTGAAATGAAGGAAAGGCCTGAGTTATGTGGATTATGAATTCTCAGAAGCTGGTGAATCTTTGATCAGTCGGCCTTAATATAAGTACACTCGAGAACTTTACCATATAATCATGATTTAAATATGATAAAGAATATGATTGTAATATTGTACTATCCTTGTTTCAATTTTGGTCAAAATATGTTGACAATCCCTTACTTTCATAAAATTTAAAATTTAATCCATGTGCTTAAAAGTTCAAATTTGAAATCTCTTGTTTTTCATTATAACTAACACTGCCAGTGAATTTTTTATTATCGATATTTACTTACGATCAACTAAGTTTGGTAATGGTAAGTTTACTTCTTCTGAATTTGGTATAATTACATATTTACGTAAATATATTAATCTTTGAATTTTGTCAAACTATAATTTCAGTCCCTCTTATCTTTAAAATTAAGATTCAATCCTTATATTTTAATTTGATATAATATGATTATCTACTTTATAATGTACGTGGTATTAACTGATATTCTAACATGGTTTTACTTTTAAATCTTTTAAGTATATGAAATAAATATTAAATTTTATTTTAGAGATCGAGAACATAATTTGATTTGATTTTTTAGTTTCAATATGAACACTTTTAAAAGAGAGAAAAAAAGTACGTAATTTTCATCTACATCCTCAGGGAGTTAGGGTTATCTTTTTCACAACTTTTTTTAAAAAATTTTAATTGGGATTTAAATGAAAATATTCACACTTATGAAGTACCAACTTTGACCCATTTTAAAATTTCATCATAATAATATAATGACTAAATCCATAAGTTATGAATAAAACAGTGACTGAGAGAAGAGTTTGACCACCTTAATAATATCATGCAGTTGTTCTAAGGGAAGTAACTATCTTGGGCTTGGATTCAACTCATATTTGTCTTTGGGCAAAGAGCACATCATAATTTGGGTTTTAAAACGAGATAAATAAAAGATTTTACGTTAAAGATAAAATTAAAATTTTAAAGAGTACGAAATTATAAAATTTTATAAATGTGAAAAAAAAAAGATTATTAATAAAATATATAAATTACTTAAAATTTTCATAAACATATCCATAATAATATCTTCTCGACCCATCCTACTTTTAATCATTATTGAATTTTTATTACACACTAATGGACTCATTCAAAATATTTTTCTATACAAAAGCCTACAACTGCATTCCATCTTGCATCCACTACATGATAGTATGCTAATTTACTAACCTCATCACCTCGTCCTTGAGCATTCTGATCCATTGTTGTTAGTTCTTGATGTGATGAGAATTGAACATACACATTCCTCCCCCTGGAACATTACAAACTCATGCAAAGGATTTAGAAACAAGGACAGCAAGGAAAGCAAAGAAAACACTTGAATACCTAATAGCTGGTTGAACATTAGTGTTACTGCATTGCGTTTATGGCTGAAGGAACATCTTCCATTTGGAGAAGAGCCTAAACACAATTAAACAGGATAAGCACATGAAATCTAGGTGTGCATAGATTTTCAAGTTCAAGCAGCTAAATCTATTGCAAGAGAAAAAGTAAAAACCTGATTCTTTGCACCGAGCATTACAAGCTTTGTTATCACTCCAAATGGATGGAAAAGTTGAAGTAAATCAATCTGAAACAAACAGAAGGGGATGCATCAGGTAATGTACGTTCATCATTGAAGCATATGCACTGCAATTATACATGATAAAAATCCATACATTTTCATTGCAAGTTTGCAACCGAAGTTTATTAAGTTGAAATAAAGGTTTATTTGCTTGCCCTATTGAAGCATAAACTCTAAACAATCATGACCAGCCAAAAAAGAAAACAAAAACATTCATAGACGACTCCACAGAAGTTGGAAGTAAAGAGAAAGAGTAAGCCAAAAAAGGGGTAAAGAGGCTTTACTTCAGTAATTTCATGGCCAACGATGCGAACGTGAATGACTTTAGAAGGTTCCGCCATTTGCAAGGACCTGTACCATACTCAAAACACTATCCATTATCCTCCTTTCACCATACTTCCCCATCAAAAGTAATAAAACAATTCATTTCTAACCAAAATTGCAAGCAAAAGGGAACAAAACACTAATATATTATTTCTCGCTAAAATCAAATGTTTCACTACTTTTTTCCCTTTAACATAGCGGCTAATTCACTGCATCTAACAGTCAAATTATGCAAAATAAAAATTAAAAACAACTAATAAATCAGAGTGTGTGTTTTTTTCTTCTTCTAAAGAACAGAAAAGAAATCGCAATGAATTTGGAAGTGAAAAACAAAACAAACTATGTTCAATTGCGAAGAAATCAAGAGGAATTTTTTTAAAAAAAATACATAACTATAAAAGGGGAAGCCTTTAAGCTTGAATCTGCGGAAACAGAGAGAAGATGTTGATTTATTGTTTAGAGTAACATGTTTAGGGAACAAAATGGGAGCGTTATATCGAGTTAAAGAGGGAAAGGAAGGCGGTGAGATGAGAGAGAACTTGCCTGAGAGAAAGAGAGGGAAAATGGAGAAGAGAGATTTGTATTGAGAGGGAATCAGAGGGGAGTCAAGTGCGGTTCCCATGTTTTTGTTTTTGTTTTTGCCCTATCCTCTTTCCCCTTCTCGCCCTAAATCACCATTTAGTACCTAAATTTTTATTTTTGATCTGTTTTAATACTTAAATTTTAATATATTTTTTAAAAAAACATGTTTAAAATTTAGTTTTCATTTCCTTTCGGTATCTGGTAGTCAAAAAATAACAAGTTTAGTACCTAAATTATTAATTTGGGTTTGTTTTAGTAACTAAACTTTCAATTTTTCAAAAGCAATATTAAATTTTGAATGGAAGTACTAAAATAAAACAAAAATTAAAGTTTTTACCGGTGGAGTATTAAAATGAAACAAAAACTAAAGTTTAGATGTGATTTTGAAAAAAATTAAAGTTTAAATACTAAAATGGATCAAAACCTACAGTTTAAATACTGCATACGTAATTTACCCATTTGTCTATTAAGCTATTCGGACATGTGTCATCAACGTGCCGCCCTATGTCAACCGGGTTTAGGGGTGGGGCATAAGATTTGAATTTTGGATGCAACATCTTTTATTTTAATCCAATCTTATTTGATATTTAAAAAAATTGAATTTGGGTCCTATTAAATTAGGTTTTTAAAATATAATATTAGGTTGAAGTCAAATTTAGAGAAAAAAATAATTTAAAAAATATTATAATTATCTTTATTTATTTAAAGATAATTGTAATAATATTTTTTCTCTATATTTTTTTAGTTAAATCTATATTTTATTTTGTAAAAATAAAATTATATATATATGTGTGTCAAATTCGATTGGATGCAAGTATAAGTTTTTATCCTAAAAGATAAGTGCAATGAATAAAATAGAAGAGAGTAAAGTTTAGTTACCAAAATTGTAATTTACCCAAGTCAAAATTAAAATATTTATAATAAAGCACCTTATTGATCAGTAAACTATAAGATCATCGCTATTTTAATCATTAAATAATTTTTTTTATAAATTAGATTATCAAACTATAATTTATGTATCAATCAAGTCTTATTAGACTTTAATTTTTATCAATGTTAAGGATTTTATAATAAACTATATATTAATGGGATGTTTAGTTTTATTGAATCAGATCACTAACGCAATCAAAAGAAAGTCCAGCATTGAGTACACATGGTTCAAAACTCGGCGAGTTCAAACATTCAAGACAAAACCCGAAAAAGCAAAACGAAATCATCCAAGAAATTTCAACCAACTTTTTCCCGATTTTATGCCTTGAGCCGACCATAGAATTTCTGTTTCTCCTGTGTCGTCTGGAATCGTCCATGCCCGAACTTTGAGGAGGTGTCGATGAACTTGAGTTTGATTTCCTCGAGGGCCACACGGGATGTCTGGTTAATCAGAGACTGGCGAAGTGTAACCACCCTCTTCTTAGGTCCAACACAGCCTCCTTTGATCATCAAGTAATCACTCTTCACAACACCATAGTGAGGGAAGCCACCGATCGGGGTGATATCCTTCTCGGTCCTGATTAAAAATGCCATGTTAGAACATGTTCAGCAATTATATCAGCAAACCGAAACAGAAAACATCAGTCTTCTCCATACATCACCATGGAAAAAACTGTGAATCCGAGTAAAATGATTCGGGTATAATCTAGATAATTAAACACATTCAGCAATGGTATCGGGCAAAGCTGAACGGAAAACAATGGAACTCTCCATACAAGACCTTGAAAACAAGTCAAACCAAATGGAAGTAAAATGATTTAGGTTTATTCTAGCTAGTTGAACACGATCAGTAATGATATCGAGCAGATGCAAACAGAAAACATAAGAATTATCCATACAAGAACCTGGAAACGACTCCAAATCTGATTGTAAGTATAAAAAAATATAGGTATATTCTGGCAACTGGAACATAATTAGACAAATGCACTTACCTATCATAGTCGGTTATAGCCGAGTTAGTCTCATCACCAACTTTACCAACCCTGTAAACCTTCTTGTTCATCTCAGTACGGTGGTGGTATCCGTTCTGACCTGCCCTGGCAACTGTAAAGGAGACTCTAGCAGGATGCCAGGCACCGATACAAGCAACCTTACGCAGACCTCTGTGGGTCTTACGGGGCAGACGTGTGACACCCCAACGAGTCACAACACCTTCATAACCTTTACCCTTTGTGACACCGATGATGTCAATCATTTCATCCTTCTGGAAGACAGCATCGATGGGTACTTGCTTCTCAAAGAACTTGTACGCAAAATCAACCTTGTCGGCAATAGTGCCACCATTGACTTGGATCTCCATTAGGTGTGCCTTCTTCTGCTTCAATCCCTTCATTTTCCTAATCTGTAGTGCACTTTGTCAGAAAACGTCATCCACCCCTCAAAAAAGGAAACCAGAAAATAAGGACACATATGGTTACAACCTGGGTGTGTGCCAAGACCCTGATAACAGTGGCATATTTCTTCAACTTCTCAAGCTGAGCCGTGATACTCTTCTTCCCTTCTTCGCTCTCGTACTGCTTAGAGTACTTGGTGAAAGCCTTCTTCTTGGATTTGCACCAGTGCTTGTAGAATCTACGTTTGACCTCCTCACTCAAATGCTGAGCCCAGACGGTGTTCAACGAGCGGAGGCCACGTGGCGTCTTCACGTACCCGACAACCCCAACAATAACCATGGGAGGGGTTTCAATGATAGTAACGGCTTCACATGTTTCCTTCTTGTGAAGCTCTATACAAAATTAAACAACATAACATTAAACTCAAAATTACAAAAAAAAAAATCAACCAAAGAACATGAAAAATATTCCCAATTTTCATAATCAAAATGAACTTACTAGATCCGGGTTTTTCGACCTCCCTGACAATGTGTGTCATACCAGCCTTGTACCCCAAAAAGGCAGTGAGCTTGCATGGTTTGCTTGGATCATCCTTTGGGAATGCCTTCACTGCACCAATCAAAAACATCCCCATTTAGAACAAATCCATACCGAACACATAAAGTACCTAATGGAAACCCCCAAGTTCAAATAACATAGTATACTCCTAAAGTTTATACAGCTATAGGCTACAATGGTGCTGGTGAATTGCAGTATCAACATTAAATTGAAAAAATGAAAGAGAATACAACCAGTGAATGAGCCATTTGTTGGTAGGGTGGGAGAGGTTGTGCCCCAATTTTTTTTGGTAGAATAGCATTTTAGGTCCTTGTTAGTTTAAATATTAGTCAAATAAAGTATCTGTGCCTCCTAATTTTTAGATTTAAATACTTAATAGATCCTTGCACCTCCTGATATTTGATCCTATCTCCATCACTGAATACAACATACCTTTTCCTCTGTGACGAGAAGCTCGCTTCCTTGGAAGAAATCCAAGGGAGCCATGCCTTGGGTGCTCAAACTTCCTGTGAGACATTCTTCCCTTCCTTCACCACCCAAAAAATTATATACATAGCACATCAAAACACTAATCAAACCCATGTCTTTTCATTCAATCTATAAAAATAGCAATTAAAATGAAATGAAAAAGAGTTTCTGGTGATAGCAATTGGTTTTACTATAGAAAAAGATAGTAAAGATGGAGAGAATGCGTGGAAGAGAGAAGTGACCTGATTTGGGAGACTCCTGCACTGCGGCGCTGCTGCTTGGTGACTGAACAGGGAGAACCACCCAAAAAAAACCCTAGTTATAATGTTACATTTTCAAATTGTTTAAATAATTGAATTTACATAAAACCCCCCGTTTTCTTTCTGAAATTTAATTGGTGTAATGATAAAATTAATCCCCTAATTACACAAATGATCATTTTGACCCCTATTCTTTTTTAGAAATATTTTAACTCAACATTTTAATTTTTGGTCAAAATAGTTTCTGATGGATTAAAATCGTTAATCGACCAACGGTTAGTGAAGTTGTTGACGTTATATTTTTACGGCTTAATACAAAAATAAGTGCTTAAACTATATCCCAAATTGACTTTTAGTACCTAAAATTTTTTTCGTTAAAAATAGGTGTCTAACGTTTTCAACTTTACACTTTTAAGTGCTTGGACCATAACCACCATTAAATTTAGTCGTTATCTGACATGTTTCATTCATATAAATTTTCAATTTTTTTATTTTAAAAAACCCACTTAATTCTATAATTATAAAAAACCCAAAATTTATTTCCTCCACTATCAATCGGCCACCGCCGGCACGTGGCCATCATCGTCGACACCATCAGAATCGTCTCGCTATTGTGACCAAAATTTAATCCCCCACCCACCGTGAAATTGTGTCGATCATCATGGAAAGCGCCACGAAAGGTAATTGGATTTTTAGGTTTTCCTTTATTTTTTCATGTGATTCTAACGAATGTAATTGTTTGTACGTTACACGATCGCCATCATTGAATTCCCCGTACTGTTACAAACAAAACCCAACTGGTGGTGATCCTTCGTTATCGGATGTGGGGGATGGAAGGGA